GGGAGGTGAGTGACAGTGAGGCAGGGGTGGTGAGTGACAGTGAGGCAGGGGAGGTGAGTGACAGTGTGGACGGGAGGTGAGTGACAGTGAGGCAGGGGTGGTGAGTGACAGTGAGGCAGGGGGGGGTGAGTGACAGTGAGGCCGGGGAGGTGAGTCACAGTGAGGCAGGGGAGGTGAGTGACAGTGAGGCAGGGGAGGTGAGTGACAGTGAGGCAGGGGAGGTTAGTGACAGTGAGGCAGGGGAGGTGAGTGACTGTGAGGCAGGGGAGGTGAGTGACAGTGAGGCAGGGATGGTGAGTGACAGTGAGGCAGGGGAGGTGAGTGACAGTGAGGCAGGGGTGGTGAGTGACAGTGAGGCAGGGGAGGTGAGTGACAGTGAGGCAGGGGTGGTGAGTGACAGTGAGGCATGGGAGGTGAGTGACAGTGAGGCAGGGGTGGTGAGTGACAGTGAGGCAGGGGAGGTGAGTGACAGTGAGGCAGGGGTGGTGAGTGACAGTGAGGCAGGGGTGGTGAGTGACAGTGAGGCAGGGGAGGTGAGTGACAGTGAGGCAGGGGAGGTGAGTGACAGTGAGGCAGGGAGGTGAGTGACAGTGCGGCAGGGGTGGTGAGTGACAGTGAGGCAGGGGAGGTGAGTGACAGTGCGGCAGGGGTGGTGAGTGACAGTGAGGCAGAGAGGTGAGTGACAGTGCGGCAGGGGTGGTGAGCGACAGTGAGGCAGGGGAGGTGAGTGACAGTGAGGCAGGAGTAGTGAGTGACAGTGAGGCAGGGGAGGTGAGGGACAGTGGGGCAGGCGTGGTGAGTGACAGTGAGGCAGGGGAGGTGACAGTGAGGCAGGGGTGGTGAGTGACAATAGGCAGGGATAGTGAGTGACAGTGAGACAGGGGTGGTGAGTGACAGTGAGGCAGGGGTGGTGAGTGACAGTGAGGCAGGGGAGGTGAGTGACAGTGAGGCAGGGGAGGTGAGTGACAGTGAGGCAGGGGAGGTGAGTGACAGTGAGGCAGGGGTGGTGAGTGACAGTGAGGCCAGGGAGGTGAGTGACAGTGAGGCAGGGGAGGTGAGTGACAGTGAGGCAGGGGAGGGGAGGGACAGTGAGGCAGGGGAGGTTAGTGACAGTGAGGCAGGGGAAGTGAGTGACAGTGAGGCATGGGGAGGTGAGTGACAGTGAGGCAAGGATGGTGAGTGACAGTGAGGCAGGGGAGGTGAGTGACAGTGCGGCAGGGGTGGTGAGTGACAGTGAGGCAGGGGAGGTGAGTGACAGTGAGGCAGGGGTGGTGAGTGACAGTGAGGCATGGGAGGTGAGTGACAGTGAGGCAGGGGTGGCGAGTGACAGTGAGGTAGGGGAGGTGACAGTGAGGCAGGGGTGGTGAGTGACAGTGAGGCAGGGGTGGTGAGTAACAGTGAGGCAGGGGTGGTGAGTGACAGTGAGGCAGGGGTGGTGAGTGACAGTGAGGCAGGGGTGGTGAGTGACAGTGAGGCATGGGTGGTGAGTGACAGTGAGGAAGGGTGGTGAGTGGCAGTGAGGCAGGGGAGGTGACAGTGAGGCAGGGGAGGTGACAGTGAGGCAGGGGTGGTGAGTGACAGGGAGGCAGGGGTGGTGAGTGACATTGAGGCATGGGTGGTGAGTGACAGTGAGACAGGGGTGGTGAGTGACAGTGAGGCAGGGGTGGTGAGTGACAGTGAGGCAGGGGAAGTGACAGTGAGGCAGGGGTGGTGAGTGACAGGGAGGCAGGGATGGCGAGTGACAGTGAGACAGGGGTGGTGAGTGACAGTGAGGCAGGGGTGGTGAGTGACAGTGAGGCAGGGGAGGTGAGTGACAATGAGGCAGGGGAGATGAGTGACAGTGATGCAGGGGAGGTGAGTGACAGTGAGGCAGGGGGGAGGTGAGTGACAGTGAGGCTGGGGCTGTGAGTGACAGTGAGGCAGGGGAGGTGAGTGACAGTGAGGCAGGGGTGGTGAGTGACAGTGAGGCAGGGGGGGTGACAGTGAGGCAGGGGTGGTGAGTGACAGTGAGGCAGGGGTGGTGAGTGACAGTGAGGCAGGGGTGGTGAGTGACAGTGAGGCAGGGGTGGTGAGTGACAGTGAGGCAGGGGTGGGGAGTGACAATGATGCAGAGGTGGTGAGTGACAGTGAGGCAGGGGAGGTGCGTGACAGTGAGTCAGGGGTGGTGAGTGACAGTGAGGCACGGGAGGTGAGTGACAGTGAGGCGGGGGGAGGTGACAGTGAGGCAGGGGAAGTGAATGACAGTGAGGCAGGGGTGGTGAGTGACAGTGAGGCAGGGGTGGTGAGTGACAGTGAGGCAGGGGAGGTGAGTGACAGTGAGGCAGGGGTGGTGAGTGACAGTGAGGCAGGGGAGGTGAGTGACAGTGAGGCAGGGGTGGTGAGTGACAGTGAGGCAGGGGAGGTGAGTGACAGTGAGGCAGGGGAGGTGAGTGACAGTGAGGCAGGGGAGGTGAGTGACAGTGAGGCAGGGGTGGTGAGTGACAGTGAGGCAGGGGAGGTGAGTGACAGTGAGGCAGGGGTGGTGAGTGACAGTGAGGCATGGGTGGTGAGTGACAGTGAGGCAGGGGTGGTGAGTGACAGTGAGGCAGGGGAGGTGAGTGACAGTGAGGCAGGGGTGGTGAGTGACAGTGAGGCAGAGAGGCGAGTGACAGTGCGGCAGGGGTGGTGAGCGACAGTGAGGCAGGGGAGGTGAGTGACAGTGAGGCAGGAGTAGTGAGTGACAGTGAAGCAGGGGAGGTGAGTGACAGTGGGGCAGGGGTGGTGAGTGACAGTGAGGCAGGGGTGGTGAGTGACAATAGGCAGGGATGGTGAGTGACAGTGAGACAGGGGTGGTGAGTGACAGTGAGGCAGGGGTGGTGAGTGACAGTGAGGCAGGGGAGGTGAGTGACAGTGAGGCAGGGGTGGTGAGTGACAGTGAGGCAGGGGAGGTGAGTGACAGTGAGGCAGGGGAGGTGAGTGACAGTGAGGCAGGGGAGGTGAGTGACAGTGAGGCAGGGGTGGTGAGTGACAGTGAGGCCGGGGAGGTGAGTGACAGTGAGGCAGGGGAGGTGAGTGACAGTGAGGCAGGGGAGGTGAGTGACAGTGAGGCAGGGGAGGTTAGTGACAGTGAGGCAGGGGAGGTGAGTGACAGTGAGGCAGGGGAGGTGAGTGACAGTGAGGCAGGGATGGTGAGTGACAGTGAGGCAGGGGAGGTGAGTGACAGTGCGGCAGGGGTGGTGAGTGACAGTGAGGCAGGGGAGGTGAGTGACAGTGAGGCAGGGGTGGTGAGTGACAGTGAGGCATGGGAGGTGAGTGACAGTGAGGCAGGGGTGGTGAGTGACAGTGAGGTACGGGAGGTGATAGTGAGGCAGGGGTGGTGAGTGACAGTGAGGCAGGGGTGGTGAGTGACAGTGAGGCAGGGGTGGTTAGTGACAGTGAGGCAGGGGTGGTGAGTGACAGTGAGGCAGGGGTGGTGAGTGACAGTGAGGCAGGGGTGGTGAGTGACAGTGAGGAAGGGGTGGTGAGTGACAGTGAGGCAGGGGAGGTGACAGTGAGGCAGGGGAGGTGACAGTGAGGCAGGGGTGGTGAGTGACAGGGAGGCAGGGGTGGTGAGTGACAGTGAGGCATGGGTGGTGAGTGACAGTGAGACAGGGGTGGTGAGTGACAGTGAGGCAGGGGTGGTGAGTGACAGTGAGGCAGGGGAAGTGACAGTGAGGGAGGGGTGGTGAGTGACAGGGAGGCAGGGATGGTGAGTGACAGTGAGGCAGGGGTGGTGAGTGACAGTGAGGCAGGGGAGGTGAGTGACAGTGAGGCAGGGGAGGTGAGTGACAATGAGGCAGGGGAGATGAGTGACAGTGATGCAGGGGAGGTGAGTGACAGTGAGGCAGGGGGGAGGTGAGTGACAGTGAGGCTGGGGTTGTGAGTGACAGTGAGGCTGGGGTGGTGAGTGACAGTGAGGCAGGGGTGGTGAGTGACAGTGAGGCAGGGGTGGTGAGTGACAGTGAGGCAGGGGTGGTGAGTGACAGTGAGGCAGGGGTGGTGAGTGACAGTGAGGCAGGGGTGGTGAGTGACAGTGAGGCAGGGGTGATGAGTGGCAGTGAGGCAGGGGTGGGGAGTGACAATGATGCAGAGGTGGTGAGTGACAGTGAGGCAGGGGGGGAGGTGACAGTGAGGCAGGGGTGGTGAGTGACAGTAAGGCAGGGGAGGTGAGTGACAGTGAGGCGGGGGGGGGGGTGACAGTGAGGCAGGGGAAGTGAGTGACAGTGAGGCAGGGGTGGTGAGTGACAGTGAGGCAGGGGTGGTGAGTGACAGTGAGGCAGGGGAGGTGAGTGACAGTGAGGCAGGGGAGGTGAGTGACAGTGAGGCAGGGGAGGTGAGTGACAGTGAGGCAGGGGTGGTGAGTGACAGTGAGCAGGGAGGTGAGTGACAGTGAGGCAGGGGAGGTGAGTGACAGTGAGGCAGGGGAGGTGAGTGACAGTGAGTCAGGGGTGGTGAGTGACAGTGAGGCAGGGGAGGTGAGTGACAGTGAGGCAGGGGTGGTGAGTGACAGTGAGGCAGGGGTGGTGAGTGACAGTGAGGCAGGGGAGGTGAGTGACAGTGAGGCAGTTGTGGTGAGTGACAGTGAGGCAGGGGTGGTGAGTGACAGTGAGGCAGGGGAGGTGAGTGACAGTGAGGCAGGGGTGGTGAGTGACAGTGAGGCAGGGGAGGTGAGTGACAGTGAGGCAGGGGTGGTGAGTGACAGTGAGGCAGGGGAGGTGAGTGACAGTGAGGCAGTTGTGGTGAGTGACAGTGAGGCAGGGGTGGTGAGTGACAGTGAGGCAGGGGAGGTGAGTGACAGTGAGGCAGGGGAGGTGAGTGACAGTGAGGCTGGGGTGGTGAGTGACAGTCAAGGGTGGTGAGTGACAGTGAGGCAGGGGTGGTGAGTGACAGTGAGGCAGGGGTGGTGAGTGACAGTGAGGCAGGGGAGGTGAGTGACAGTGAGGCAGGGGAGGTGAGTGACAGTGAGGCAGGGGGGGACTTACCTGGTTGTTTGGTCGACACTTTACACCGGGCCTTATTGCAGCGATAGAGACCCGCACATGCGCAGTCGGAGTCAATGCGGCAGTGTAGGCGCCTCACCTCGCCACAGCTTCTCTGTAACAACACAACCACACTGTTAGTCGCTCTGCCACACCTGTGTCCCTCCGGTGACGTGCGGCCACCACGCCATATAGTATGGACCTATAGTACATAAATATAGTAGGCATTTCGTTCCCAGCCAGCCTGTGTTCGTCCCATACCCCACACCATTCCCCCTGCAAATTTGAATATCTACGAGTTGCCGCCAATTTTTGGGCGACAGACAAAGACACAGACATGCTCTCATCCAGGTACACGTACTGTCACATAAGCGACCATACGAGTCACAAATACTCATACTCTGCCCAAGTAAAGCAGAAACAAGCAACACTTAGTGGGTCAGCCAGAGGCTTAGGGCCCGCCCACTGGGCCAGCCAGAGGCTTAGGGCCCGCCCACTGGGCCAGCCAGAGGCTTAGGGCCCGCCCACTGGGCCAGCCAGAGGCTTAGGGCCCGCCCACTGGGCCAGCCAGAGGCTTAGGGCCCGCCCAGTGGGCCAGCCAGAGGCTTAGGGCCCGCCCAGTGGGCCAGCCAGAGGCTTAGGGCCCGCCCAGTGGGCCAGCCAGAGGCTTAGGGCCCGGCCAGTGGGCCAGCCAGAGGGCTTAGGGCCCGCCCAGAGGCCAGCCAGAGGCTTAGGGCCCGCCCACTGGGCCAGCCAGAGGCTTAGGGCCCCGCCCAGTGGGCAGCCAGAGGCTTAGGGCCCGCCCAGTGGGCCAGCCAGAGGCTTAGGGCCCGCCCAGTGGGCTAGTCAGAGGCTTATAGGGCCCGCCCAGTGGGCCAGCCAGAGGCTTAGGGCCCGCCCACTGGGCCAGCCAGAGGCTTAGGGCCCGCCCAGTGGGCCAGCCAGAGGCTTAGGGCCCGCCAACTGGGCCAGCCCGAGGCTTATGGCCCGCCCAGTGGGCAAGCCAGAGGCTTAGGGCCCGCGCAGTGGGCCAGCCAGAGGCTTAGGGCCCGCGCAGTGGACCAGCCAGAGGCTTAGGGCCCGCGCAGTGGGCCAGCCAGGAAACTTAGGGCCGCCCGCAGTGGGCCAGCCAGAGGCTTAGGGCCCGCCCAGTGGGCCAGCCAGAGGCTTGGGCCCGCCCAGTGGGCCAGCAGAGGCTTAGGGCCCGCCCAGTGGGCCAGCCCGAGGCTTAGGGCCCGCCCAGTGGGCCAGCCAGAGGCTTAGGGGCCCGCCCACTGGGCCAGCCAGAGGCTTAGGGCCCGCCCAGTGGGCCAGCCAGAGGCTTAGGGCCGCCCAGTGGGCCAGCCAGAGGCTTAGGGCCCGCCCAGTGGGCCAGCCCGAGGCTTAGGGCCCGCGCAGGAATATCCCTGCAAAAAAAAAAAAAAAAGTTTCATTGACGACTTGTGTTCGAACCACAACGCTGTAAATGCTTCACCCACGAACTACAAATACAAACAGTCGCCAACAGAATCTAAACACCTAACCTATCCTATGCCTATATATGCACAATATACTAATATATTATAATATTAATTTATATTTGAGAAAATTCCGGTTTTGTATGAAAAACATGTAAAAATTTATGAATAAGTCTGTGGGGTCGACCGCTGGATGGAATGGACTTGAGTCGAGGACGGGTTGTGGGTCCTACACTTCACTGGCTATAGTCCTGCTTTGACTACAGGCAGTTAGGGACCACCATACACAGGACGGGACCACCATATACAGGACGGGACCACCATACACCAGACGGGACCACCATACACCAGACGGGACCACCATTACACCAGACGGGACCACCATACACCAGACAGGACCACCATACACAGGACGGGACCACCATACACCAGACGGGACACCATACACCAGACAAGACCACCATACACCAGACAGGACCACCATACACCAGACGGGACCACCATACACCAGACAGGACCACCATACACCAGACGGGACCACCATACACCAGACGGGACCACCATACACCAGACAGGACCACCATACACCAGACAGGACCACCATACACCAGACAGGACCACCATACACCAGACAGGACCACCATACACCAGACAGGACCACCATACACCAGAACAGGACCACCATACACCAGACAGGACCACCATACACCAGACAGGACCACCATACACAGGACGGGACCACCATACACCAGACAGGACCACCATACACCAGACGGGACCACCATACACAGGACAGGACCACCATACACCAGACGGGACCACCATACACCAGACAGGACCACCATACACAGACAGGACCACCATACACCAGACAGGACCACCATACACCAGACAGGACCACCATACACAGGACGGGACCACCATACACCAGACGGGACCACCATGCACCAGACGGGACCACCATACACCAGACAGGACCACCATACACAGGACGGGACCACCAAACACCAGACGGGACCACCATACACCAGACGGGACCACCATACACAGGACGGGACCACCATACACCAGACAGGACCACCATACACCAGACGGGACCACCATACACCAGACGGGACCACCATACACCAGACGGGACCACCATACACCAGACGGGACCACCATACACCAGACAGTACCACCATACACCAGACAGGACCACCATACACCAGACAGGACCACCATACACCAGACAGTACCACCATACACCAGACAGGACCACCATACACCAGACAGGACCACCAGACACCAGACAGGACCACCATACACAGGACGGGACCACCATACACCAGACAGGACCACCATACACCAGACAGGACCACCATACACCAGACAGGACTACCATACACAGGACGGGACCACCATACACCAGACGGGACCACCATACACCAGACGGGACCACCATACACAGGACGGGACCACCATACACCAGACAGGACCACCATACAAAAGACGGGACCACCATACACCAGACGGGACCACCATACACCAGACGGGACCACCATACACCAGACGGGACCACCATACACCAGACAGTACCACCATACACCAGACGGGACCACCATACACCAGACAGGACACCATACACCAGACGGGACAACATACACCAGACAGGACCACCATACACCAGACGGGACCACCATACACCAGACAGGACCACCATTCACAGACGGGACCACCATACACCAGACAGGACCACCATACACCAGACAGTACCACCATACACCAGACGGGACCACCATACACAGGACGGGACCACCATACACCAGACAGGACCACCATACACCAGACGGGACCACCATACACCAGACGGGACCACCATACACCAGACAGGACCACCATACACCAGACAGGACCACCATACACCAGACAGGACCACCATACACCAGACAGGACCACCATACACCAGACAGTACCACCATACACCAGACGGGACCACCATACACAGGACGGGACCACCATACACCAGACAGGACCACCATACACCAGACGGGACCACCATACACCAGACGGGACCACCATACACCAGACAGGACCACCATACACCAGACGGGACCACCATACACCAGACAGGACCACCATACACCAGACAGGACCACCATACACCAGGACCACCATACACCCAGGACCACCATACACCAGACAGGACCACCATACACCAGACAGGACCACCATACACCAGACAGGACCACCATACACCAGACAGGACCACCATACCACCATACACCAGACAGGACCACCATACACAGGACGGGACCACCATACACCAGACGGGACCACCATACACCAGACAGGACCACCATACACCAGACAGGACCACCATACACCAGACGGGACCACCATACACCAGACAGGACCACCATACACCAGACGGGACCACCATACACCAGACGGGACCACCATACACCAGACAGGACCACCATACACCAGACAGGACCACCATACACCACGGGACCACCATACACCAGACGGGACCACCATACACCAGACGGGACCACCATACACAGGACCACCATACACCAGACAGGACCCATACACCAGACACCACCATACACCAGACGGGACCACCATACACCAGACGGGACCACCATACACCAGACGGGACCACCATACACCAGACGGACAGGACCACCATACACCAGACAGGACCACCATACACCAGACAGACCACCATACACCAGACAGGACCACCATACACCAGACAGGACCACCATACACCAGACAGGACCACCATACACAGGACGACGGACCACCATACACCAGACGGGACCACCATACACCAGACAGTACCACCATACACCAGACAGGACCACCATACACCAGACAGGACCACCATACACCAGACAGTACCACCATACACCAGACAGGACCACCATACACCAGACAGGACCACCATACACCAGACAGGACCACCATACACAGACGGGACCACCATACACCAGACAGGACCACCATACACCAGACAGGACCACCATACACCAGACGGGACCACCATACACAGGGACCACCATACACCAGACAGGACCACCATACACCAGACGGGACCACCATACACCAGACAGGACCACCATACACCAGACGGGACCACCATACACCAGACAGGACCACCATACACCAGACGGGACCACCATACACCAGACAGGACCACCATACACCAGACAGGACCACCATACACCAGACGGGACCACCATACACCAGACAGGACCACCATACACCACCAGACAGGACCACCATACACCAGACACGGGGACCACCATACACCAGACCACCATACACAGGACGGGACCACCATACACCAGACGGGACCACCATGCACCAGACGGACCACCATACACCAGACGGGACCACCATACACCAGACAGGACCACCATACACCAGACGGGACCACCATACACCAGACGGGACCACCATACACCAGACAGGACCACCATACACCAGACAGGACCACCATACACCAGACAGGACCACCATACACAGGACCACCATACACCAGACGGGACCACCATACACAGACAGGACCACCATACACCAGACAGGACCACCATACACCAGACGGGACCACCATACACCAGACAGGACCACCATACACCAGACAGGACCACCATACACCAGACAGGAC